CCACTATTTTATTAGCTCATCTCCTTATGATTTAACTGACCCAGCGGCCTTTCCACATTGTGAAACTTGCCAGTGTGTTTCCTGACTCACCTTTAACAGTAGCCAAACCATTAATGTAGATGTTCATAGGTGCCAAGTTCTGTCCTAAGCCAACGTATATGACCGAATTTCCCCAGCGGGTAGGGAAAATTATAATTCCCATTCTACACATGAGGACACAAGGCTCAGAAAAGTTAAGCAACAACTAAGGCGTGAACCCACAGCTGTTTGTCACCAAAGCCTATGTCCTACTGCTTACCCAGAACACAAATGTTGTGTCTGATTTTAAACCCTCAAAGGTAGTCCCTGCTGGTCACGGTAGGATTGGTTGTAGGTAATCCCCACCTTGAAAGGCTACGGAGTGTAGGAGGGGGGAGACAGGATTCTTACATATCACGGTTACCTCCTGATCCCCAAACCTCTCAGGATGGAAAGCCCCAACCAGACAGCCAACAGGGGTGGGGGGGAGTGTCTCGTTCCATGTCAGGTACAAACAAGCCTAGAAGAAATGCTTTGCAAAGATGACTTCCTTCCACCGAATGGCCATAATCCTTTGCTTCCCTGTTTCTTTCCGCAACACTTGTCATTGCTGATAAGGAGAATCTGAAAGCACTGTAATCTTACATTGGACCAGTTATTCGCTCCTAATAAAATTAGAAAACAGAGATCCCAATCTGTTGTTATATCTTCAACGTTTTTCACGGTGAAGGTTTTCTAAGGCGCAGCAAGGGCAGACACGCCCTGTCCCGGGCAGGTGCCCCCAGGATGCCAACCCGTGCCAGGATGCCCTCGGGACCTCATGAGCTGCTATCACTGTGGTCTACAGACGTCGGCTGACCCTCAGCAACAAGGCCCAGCAATGGCCTGTGTTTTAGAAATAAAATATAGGAAGAGGGAAAAATCAAATGTCGGGCAGAAGCGTGGAGGCATATCAGTGGGGAGGTAGCTGGTATTGAAGTGCTGGCTGCTGGCACAAAAAACGGAAAGGTAAAGGCTCTACCTCTTGATGGGACAGGAAGTAAGTACGCCAGGTAGAGGGGGGCCAAATTCCAGAGACCAAATGCATTTCGCAGACAAAGAGTATGAGGAGCCCTGAAAATTCCTTTCCATATTTTTGGCGACAAAGATGAAGCAATCGGGCGCCTGGGTGGCTCAGTCAGTTAAGCGCCCGACTTCGGCTCAGGTCATGATCTCGCAGTGAGTTCGAGCCCCGCGTCGGGCTCTGGGTAGAGCCTGGGCCTGCATTGGATTCTGTGTCTCCCTCTCTCTCTGCCCGTCTCTCGCTTGCAGTCTGCCTCTCTCTCTCTCTCTCTCTCTCTCTCAAAAATAAACCTTAAAAAAAAAAAACAAAAACAGATGAAGCAATAAAGAGAAAGTCTACAGTCTCTATGATCCACGGTGGTGCGGTTACAAATACCGAGGCCTCAGGAAACTGAATGTGTGTGCAACGTGAACTTTTAAGAGAACCTTCTTGGGTATCTGAAAACAGGAAAGTTACCCAATTTCTAGAATCTCTAGAGAGTAAAGCCACTTAATCGTTCTCAAAGTTAAAATGAGATTTGTCCCAAAGAAGAGTCAAGGTGATTTATTTCCATAATAAAAAAAAGTCCTTTGAAAGATGTCTTTGTTTTACAAAAACACAGATACAACTAGCAAAGTCTCTGTGACAGCTGTGAAAACATTCAGTTGCCAGTGAAGGTATTTTTCTCTTTTTCACCACAGCTGTTCAGTTCAGAGCTGGGTTTGTTTTCGTCTTTCACTAAGCTTCCAGATCAAAAATTCTAGGCTCTGCGTTGCACAACCTTGCCCTTGAATTTTCTTGAATAGGCTGCCACCGTGTGGTGACCACTAAAAAGGCACGTGGGTTTGAGCTCAACGGCAGGGCGTTTCCGAGCTGTCTTAAAATGTATTAGATCCACCTGCCACTCAAATATACCCTTCTAGGTGGAGACACCTGCCTTCCCTGGGCAGCACCACAACCTGCTCCTTTCTGTTCTCCTGCGGCAACATGAGGAACGTGTGTTTTTTGATGTTGTTCTGCGGTACTTTATTGTACCTAATATACTCAAAAAAAAAAAGTTTATTTTTGAGAG